TGTCACTGTTGCTGTTACTATTGAGTTTCTGGAAGAAAGATTTTGTGCTGTCACTATTGAGTTTCTGGAAGAAAGATTTTGAGGCTTCGTAGGTAGACCAAGAGATTGCTGCAGCTGGTGAATGGAAAAGCATCCTTGGGATCCAACCTCTCATGAGGCCTCTGTAACCATCCTTTTGAACTATTGCTTTAATCACATCTCCAATCGAACCACTTTTAAATCTGTCACACCCACAAACACCCTGCAAATCCAATCAGAGTTAGCTGTTATCAAATTATAAAGAGAAATTTAACACCTGCAAAAGATGATACACAAATTAATGCATCCTGCTGTCTTTATGTGACAATGAGGGAAAGTGAACTTGAGGTCCCACCCCATCTCCCCTAGCATGCAATGGTGAGTCCATCGTACCAGACACCAATAAGTTACATGATGCATCTAGTAGTAAAGTAGTAGCCTTGGTAGGTTCTCATAAACTATGCTTTTTTATCCAACATTTCATTTCAATTTTTTTTGTGGGGGGTTGTATAATATATATACAAATTGGAGTGGAACAATGAAATTCTTCGAGAGATCAACACAAAGATCACTGACTAGACATCACAAAACACACGGAAAGGCATGGTGAAATTGACAAGTGTCCAAATTAGTTCAGGAGTAGGTGATTACATATCTTCAGTTCTAATCTTGTTGTTCTTCTTAAGCATTTAGATGGTTTAATTTAATCTTTATAAATTGATTAGGTAGTTCAATTGATCATGACTCATTGGTTGAACCAACAGCCTTCTGATGGACGAGCTATAAGAAATTCAATGACAAACAAAACACACAGGCTGAGGCATGATATCAGCTGCAGGAGAATACCAATTTAGCATTCGACCAACTCTTGTAAAATTGATTTCAAGCGAGACTGATATGAAATAGTCAGATGTCGAAAGTTGAACCAAACCCATTAAAGTATAAACAATGAAAAGATGGCAAATTCCTTCCTTTACAGCCATAATACTTATAAAACACCAAATCTTCAGGTTGTGTGATTGCTACAAGTTTATATTGGGTTCGACCAGAAAATGAATACTGATGTTATGGTATGTGAGAAATTTTGAATATGTTGGTCAGAGTGGGGCAGTACAAAAAGTAGAGATTGTATAAATATCAGATATGAAGCTGGAAGAGTGTGATTATTAATTCATCATGAAGCATTTAGCAACCCATCCTTGTAAATCTTCAATAAATGATGCATTTAGTGAGGGAATTCCTAATGACGATTCAGTTTTCCTTGTAAAAACATCTTATTGTGTGCCTATACACCAAGATCAGAGATGGTATGATTCTACTATCAGGAGGTCTACCAAACATTAGCTTAGCTTCGCCACTCAAAATCAACCCTCTAGATCATTAAAATCTCTTCTAAACTTTGATTTCAATTGCATTGCAACTTTTAAAAGCTAGGCATTCTCTCTCTATTAGCCTAATATTTTCTTCAAATTGGCAAAGTAGTTCACTGTGAATTAAAAACAGAGTAAGAAGAACAATACCTGACACTGCAATTGAGTTTTAACAACATCAAGTGGTGTGGTAACCGCAGCGGCCAAAGCTCCAGCAGCAGCACCCGCAGTAGCATGAACAACCCACCTCTCATCATTCACACTATCCGGAGAAATCTCCATCAAACCCTTCTTCGCAGCTTCATAAATCGTAAAATAAACCGCAGTAAATGGTGCATTCATCAAAACAGTAGTCCTATACGAAGCATAAAATGCACCAAACCCCTCTTCTCTCCCCACCCTCTTAACACAATCCCAAACACCCTTATAGACACTATCACTCCCCAATTGCAATCTCTGCTTTACCATGTCCATCGGTGTGAAAACCGCATCGCTAGCAATCGTTGCACAAACACCAGAAACAGCATGCGCAATTGAACTATTTGGGTTATCTCGCGACAGATGTTTCTTACAGACTTCATAAAATGAAAAATGGACAGCATGGGCGGGACCAGCGCCGAGAGCCATCGCGGCAACGCCACGGTAAAGGGCAGCAGGGCCCTCGGATTTAAGAAGGGAATTGAGGACATGAGTTACGCTTACGGATTTAATCGGACAAGACCCGATTGCTTGCATATGAGTCTTGACTGTGTCAACAGGGAACATAGCCATGTGTTCTACAAGACCGGCTATTGAACCGGAAATCATGTATTGCCAAAAATGGAGGCCATCGAAGGAGGTTGTGGAGGATATTTTCTCCGGGTGGAAATCGGGGCGGAAATCGGCGTGGTTTTGGAATTTGGTGGTGGCGGCGGCGTCGGTGGCCATGGTGGTGGAGAATTCTTCAGGGTTTTACGGAGTGAATTGGTGATGTGAAAAAAAGGGAGATTTTGATGGTTAATGTTTAGGCCCTTTAGGGATAGATTTTGGTGTTGGGTGGTAAGGGTTATAGCCATACACACTGACTTACATGTGTTGAGCTTTCTGTTTGGGGTTATCAGACAGAAGAAAGAAAGAAAAGATTTGTCCTTTATGGTTTTGCAAGTTTTGACCGACAATTGAACAGGTTAGGGTTTCCAAGATTTTGGGTCCTCTTTTTTTCCTCAGTCTTTACAAAAAATGGGTGTCATGTAAAAAAGTCCCGTCGGTGGTGAGAATGGAGTTCAGGTGCCAAGTAGTGAATAGTAATACAAGCTAGTCCCTAAATGCTTAGCTAATTTGTATTTAGGTCCCTAAAAGAATTCTTGATGTGATTAGATGCACGCATTATAAATCACAAACAAGAGCCAAGAAAAACTACATTGTGAGATTTATCGTACAAGCAAGCAAACTTAGAAAATTATTATTATTATTATTATAAGTAAATTTAAAAAGTATGGGAAATTCATTATATAAAATACACGATGAATCACTTCCAAGACATTATGGACACCATGCTCATAGTGTTTTTTTTTTTTTTTAATTTAGCTTTTATTGGATCAAATTGTAGATCAATTTAGGCTAGTTTGTAAGGGGAGAGTGAGATTGAAATATAGGAGGTCAAAGTGAAAAAGACAGAAGGAATTGGTGGCATTTTTAGACTTTCAGGGTGAAATACCTATTTTGCCCTTTAAAAACCAAAACAATCGTTTTATTAAAGTTAATTTAGTAATTCCATAATGATACATATTACATCCCAAAATTTAAAAAAGGCAATCACATCATTTTTTTAACAATGCATGGTGAAAAGGCCCTTGGACCTTTAGATTCAATTTTTTAAAAGCTTATGTTTAGACACAGGAAATAGAATACTTAGTGTCTAATGTAATTCACTGACTAAAGCCATGATTACATTATATGTATAATAGATTTCACATGCTAAAAATAAAATATCTACCATAAAATAATTCACATGCTAGCTTAGGACAATTATAAATCCATTTTCAATGACGATTCAACTAGGATTGTAGAAATTTTGATAAGGCAGTGGAATAATTCTTGCAGAAAACCCTTCTCCCTTGAAGAGGGAAGAAAGTTAAGATTTGACCTCACTTGACATGTCCACGGGGAAGTGTCCGTGTTGTGATAGAAGATCACATGACAAAACACAGAGGCCATCGAAGGAGGTTGTGGAGGATATTTTCTCCGGGTGGAAATCGGGGCGGAAATCGGCGTGGTTTTGGAATTTGGTGGTGGCGGCGGCGTCGGTGGCCATGGTGGTGGAGAATTCTTCAGGGTTTTACGGAGTGAATTGGTGATGTGAAAAAAAGGGAGATTTTGATGGTTAATGTTTAGGCCCTTTAGGGATAGATTTTGGTGTTGGGTGGTAAGGGTTATAGCCATACACACTGACTTACATGTGTTGAGCTTTCTGTTTGGGGTTATCAGACAGAAGAAAGAAAGAAAAGATTTGTCCTTTATGGTTTTGCAAGTTTTGACCGACAATTGAACAGGTTAGGGTTTCCAAGATTTTGGGTCCTCTTTTTTTCCTCAGTCTTTACAAAAAATGGGTGTCATGTAAAAAAGTCCCGTCGGTGGTGAGAATGGAGTTCAGGTGCCAAGTAGTGAATAGTAATACAAGCTAGTCCCTAAATGCTTAGCTAATTTGTATTTAGGTCCCTAAAAGAATTCTTGATGTGATTAGATGCACGCATTATAAATCACAAACAAGAGCCAAGAAAAACTACATTGTGAGATTTATCGTACAAGCAAGCAAACTTAGAAAATTATTATTATTATTATTATTGACGTTAGGTATGGAACCAAATTCCTGCATTATCCCTGCAATTTCCTGAAGCTCTCTTGCTTTTCTCCTCAGTTTAGTTTCTTTCTCTGCATTGCTTTCCAGATTTGTAAATTCCTGCATTATCCCTGCGATTTTGTGTCGTGTAACCAAACTTTCTGCTCCCTGTTTTCGAGCACCTTTTAACCAATCTTCCAGTCCTCTACAATTAGCTTCGTACTACATTATAATTTTGATACACAACAGTAAGGAGAGTAAGAAAAGGAACACCAACACAAATGCTTTCTAGAACAGAATTCCACCCACACTATGAACAACCCTATTATTATTATTATTATTATAAGTAAATTTAAAAAGTATGGGAAATTCATTATATAAAATACACGATGAATCACTTCCAAGACATTATGGACACCATGCTCATAGTGTTTTTTTTTTTTTTTAATTTAGCTTTTATTGGATCAAATTGTAGATCAATTTAGGCTAGTTTGTAAGGGGAGAGTGAGATTGAAATATAGGAGGTCAAAGTGAAAAAGACAGAAGGAATTGGTGGCATTTTTAGACTTTCAGGGTGAAATACCTATTTTGCCCTTTAAAAACCAAAACAATCGTTTTATTAAAGTTAATTTAGTAATTCCATAATGATACATATTACATCCCAAAATTTAAAAAAGGCAATCACATCATTTTTTTAACAATGCATGGTGAAAAGGCCCTTGGACCTTTAGATTCAATTTTTTAAAAGCTTATGTTTAGACACAGGAAATAGAATACTAGGTGGTGTCTAATGTAATTCACTTACTAAAGCCATGATTACATTATATGTATAATAGATTTCACATGCTAAAAATAAAATATCTACCATAAAATAATTCACATGCTAGCTTAGGACAATTATAAATCCATTTTCAATGACGATTCAACTAGGATTGTAGAAATTTTGATAAGGCAGTGGAATAATTCTTGCAGAAAACCCTTCTCCCTTGAAGAGGGAAGAAAGTTAAGATTTGACCTCACTTGACATGTCCACGGGGAAGTGTCCGTGTTGTGATAGAAGATCACATGACAAAACACAGAAAGTACAGTTGAAGAATTAGGAAAAGATGAAGCCACCGGAATGTTCCTTCGATTCCCAACACCAATCACCCAAAACAAGAAATGATCAGTCAGTGTAAGAGGAGGCCTCAAGGACTGATCAAACCCATCAAGCAGCTTCTCAAATGGAACCTCCATCTTAGTCAGCGTAGCTTCAATGAACCCAATTGGATCAGCGTTGCGGACCAGCTCTGATGGAATGACGTTAGGTATGGAACCAAATTCCTGCATTATCCCTGCAATTTCCTGAAGCTCTCTTGCTTTTCTCCTCAGTTTAGTTTCTTTCTCTGCATTGCTTTCCAGATTTGTAAATTCCTGCATTATCCCTGCGATTTTGTGTCGTGTAACCAAACTTTCTGCTCCCTGTTTTTCCAGCACCTTTTAACCAATCTTCCAGTCCTCTACAATTAGCTTCTTACTACATTATAATTTTGATACACAACAATAAGGAGAGTAAGAAAAGGAACACCAACACAAATGCTTTCTAGAACAGAATTCCACCCACACTATGAACAACCCTTTTATAGAATGATGGCACAAAACCCTCAAGAGCTAAGTTGCAGGCTACACGCATTTACCACAGCATTATAAGCATTTTGACCTCAACCCTTTCCTAAACAACCTTCTCACTGTGATATTAACAGAGTAAGTAAAGCAATCAAAATGCAAGCTTACAATCGCTCAGAAATTACCTAAAAAGCAAACGACTGTACAAGAATAGACACTGTGTTCCCATTGAACAAAACGATCAAAATGCTGCAACACTGGAAACATCGCTGCTGACCTGAGAAAAAAGGACGCCCCTAGAATGCTCCTTCGATTCCCAAACAAAGAGCACAAATGAGAGAGTTATTTCCAAATGTTTTGAAATTTTTATTTGTTATTTTCGGATTACTTTTTTAGGTTTGTAATATTTAATTAATTCAGATTTTATTAGTTAGGTGATATAGCTTATTATTTAAAATAATTTTGTACACTATCAAAATTCAATTATTGACAATAAGAATTTCTTTCTACAGTTTAACTGTAATTTCGTTATATTCTGCGAATGCATGGCAATCAAATTGTCAATATCCATTAACATATTTCGGAATTGAATAAATATAAGTACCTCGTTAGTCTCAAAAGACCACTGTTTGAAGGAAAAGGAATTGAAATTAGACTTGGATGATCCCTTCTATGAAACTGCATCTTGGCATGTCTCCTGAAGCTCTCTCTCTCTTTTCCACATTTGTTTTCCTTCATTGCTCTTAGAATAAACAAACTTCTGACGAAATCCAGCAATTTCCTCTCTTATCACCATTTTTTTCACTCTAGACTCCGCCTCTCCAGTTCTCCACATTTTAAGTTTTTAAAATTAGTTTTATCACATGTTTGAGGTGCTTATTCATCGTTCTAAAACAACAACAAATTTCCAGAGCAAAGGCTATTGACCAAGCTATAATATATAATGATATATTTTTTAAGTATATTAAATTTATGTAATTACACATCAATCACAGTATTATTATATATAATACATAGGATGTCATGTAATTGTTTGCTCCTATTATACATCTACATTTGAACAATTATTAGGATGAGCATTATTACGAACATGGAGAGCACGCCTATAATGTAGAGCATAGTATAAGCATGTTGAGCATAAGTCATAGTATATATTTATTAGACTTGTCAACATTTCTATTCTATAGTTGCAGGATCAACATTGATTAGAGGATGTATTTGCTGATATTGTAAAAATATTTAATTTTAATATATTTTTAATTTATATTTAATTTAATTATAATTAAATGTTATATTTTTAATAATTATAATTTAAATTATTATGCAAGATGGGATCACTATTTATTCGTACATATAAGTGAATGCGACTACATGAGTGAGTTTAGCTATATATGATGGTCTAGGTTGGTTTTCTGTATATTAGTTATCTTGACCATATCAAGCTTGATCAGAGCTTAATCCATACATTGATTAAGAGATTGAGACGTGAGACATACGTGTTCCATTTTACATATGGTGAGATATTACCAACACTACACGAAGTGACAATTTTACTTGGATTGGCTATTGATAGACGGATAATCACATCTACTAGTGTTTGTAATATAATTGCATTATGCGAGCGGTCATTTAGATTATCATCCCCTCTTTCTGAATTAAGAAGGGGTAGAATACGTTTTAAATGGATTGATGAGATATTTTTGATACCATCAGATGATGGTGATGAGGAGGTCTTGCGGAGGTATAAAATCAATTATGATTTAAATGTTATGATTGCATTAATTATTATGATGATTTTAATTTATTTGTAGGTATGCGAGAGCATATATACTTCATCTATTTCACAGTGTATTGTTCACTGACCTCTTAGAGAGATATGTTCCTTTGCTTTATTGGATGCTCTTGAAAAATTTTGATGATATCCCCACATATAGTTGTGAATTTGCTATATCGACATCTTTACACAGACAATTATGTCTTGCATGCGTGAAGGAGGTCAAACAGGTCGGGGGATGTTTGCTACTTCTACAAATATGAATTGAAAAAATATATATAACTATTTAGATTTGAATGCTTCTTGCACAACAAAATTAACAAAATATTTTTATTTAATAATAGTTGCAGTCATGGGACATCTCCATATAGGTAGACTCCAAATATTGAGATTGCTGGATATAACAATCCAAACTATGAAGGTTAAATTTCATCTCCCACTAGGATGTATATATTGCGATATTATTTTTGCAATTATATACATTTATATTGTGTTCGTGAAACTTTGAAAAATATAATTAAACTAACATGTTTTTAACTTGAGGTGGCGTGCAAGATAAGTTTTTGAAAATAATCCAGCATATGTGCTATTATTTTATCAGAGAAAGCTTGATAGACAACATATTATCTAGGTATTTTTTGCACTAACAGATAACATGTTATTTTATCAGAGAAAGCTTGATAGACAACTTGTTATCTAGGTACTTTTTGAACTATTTATTAAATAAAATAATTAATTACACCGAATTATTATTGTTTGATATTTATATGATTTATAATCTGCAGGTCATATGAATGCCTTATTTGGAAGAAAGATTGGTCATTACTCTAACTGTTTGCACTAACAAGATAGATATATGAATAATAATGGTCTAGTTAATATGTTTTGAGATGATCGAGTTATATTGTCTGAATCAAGTAATATGATAGTTCGACTACAGACAACACATTCTAGACAATATCAATATGAGTGATACTTTGCATGCCATTACTTGTAGGGGTAAAAATGATGATTATAAGTTATTAGGTCAGCATAATACTTATGTATCACAATAAGGAATGAGATATTTACATAGATGATCTTGTGATTATTGATGAGAAGTTTATGATTTGGTATATAAGTATAACACGGTGAATCATTGCTTTGAATCTTGAGCAAGTTCCTCCACTTAGGTAAATACAATATGAGCACCATGCTCAATGGATTCAACATCATATAAGTAATAAAATCTTTTTTTATGATTAATATATGTTAACCTTTGAGTTTAATGTATTTATCTTTTAATTTAACATTAATATTTTATTAATATTAGGTTGGCTTCTTATTATGGGAAGGTTGAAAAGCCTTATCTTCATAGTACTAATGACTAAAGCAAAGTTCACATCGTAACGTCTCGGTTGTTAAATATTAGCTGCACTTGATTTAAAATCTTAGGAGAGAGGCTAAGTCTTGATGATGTTGTGGTAGTGGACAAGACCACTTAGGCAGGAGCTAGAGCTGCATCTAATTGTTTTACTAATAAGTCTAGATCATCTAGTAGACGATGTAGAGATAGATCAATACATGGGATATGTTTATAAATTTTAGGATTACTTGAATATTGTATTATTGTATTATTGAATTATTTTTTATTCATTTTGCATGTATATATGTTTTTTTTCCTTAAGCTACTTGTGATTATAGAATATAAGAATATGTTAAGTTTAATTAGAATTTGTTAATTGAAGTTACTGTGTTTTTTTACAAGTTTTTTAAAGCGAGACAATTTTGGATATAGTTCTTATATATAGGATATTTTGTTCAAATTTTAATAAAATTATAAAAATTTTAACTCTATAAAATCATAAAGTAAAAAAAGTTTAAAATTAACAAAAATATAATTTTATAAACTTTTTTAGACTTCAAACATAAAAATGATCCAAAACTTTATAGTAGTTAAAAGAGTCTGATCATTTTGGCTATTGTCCAACCATTTTATTAAATATCTAGTTATTTTTTAAAATAATTTCATTGATGATATCATGATTTTAAACCACGATATGAAATTAAATATTGTGGTGCATAAACATGACATTTTAATAATATCATGGTTAAAAAACACAAAATTGGATCAATTATCATTTTTGTGAACCACAACAATTAATGTTATTGTTAACAACTACAATATTTTTAAACCATGCTATTTTATTAAAAAAATTTCATCTTGTGTTATTTTGATAATTATTTATATTTTGAGTGTTAATTGTTAAGTTTATATATATTTATAAAAGATAGCAGGTTATAATCACCTTCGAATTCACCATCGCTGTTCTCATTGTCCATTCATATCACGCCACATCAATTCCAAGCTACTCCTTGCAGATCATACGTGTTCGTTCTCTGGTCTACGCTCACTGCCCTCTATTTTTCAAATTTCAGTTGGAGCTTTTAAAAATTCCCGAAGGTATCTACAATGGAATAAAAAAAAGAAAAACAATTTAGTTTTTCTCTCGTAATTTTACAGCTTCAATAAAATAATTAAATGAAAAACTAAAATCTTTTTTTGTCAATGAAAAGTAATTATTTTGTACATATTAAAAGAGCAAAAAACATAACTACCTGCACAGCAAAAACTCTATTGTCATAACTTTTCTCCTGAAAAGCAGTGTAATTGAAACTATATTTTACTTTAACCATAATTTTAAAAAATTTCGGTTAATTAACACATTATAATTTTACATTGTATATGTATTCCATTGAATATCCTCTTTTGAAATGATGATTGAAAAAAATTATTTATAAATTTATTATTTTAAATCATAACCACAAAAATTATCAAACATTCACAAAAATTCAAGCGGTTTAAATATTAATTATCATTTAATTTTCTTCATCTAAAATTAAACACAACCTTATCTTCATCTTCATGATAGTGCTAATGAAACAAAACCATTCATAGAAGAATACTAGAAGATTTTATTTTTACTTTTCACCAGAGTAGAGGACACAGCTTCTTCTTCTTTTTTCCTCATTTGAACTCATCAGTTAATTGAATGCTACAGACAAGTAGTTACCACTTGATTCCTTACCTTGATCATGTTTCAGAGAACATAATTCCATTGAACTCTGACAACATGACAAGCAATGTTTTCCTGTGGTGAATAAACTCGATCACTGGAAAATGATTACAGCATTCAAAAACTGTTCAGTGCCTGATGCCCATTGAAATATCCCTAATAAATGCATCAAGGTTGGTCGTAGATGAGCCGCCTTCAGCAATACCTTGTTGACAAATATTTCCAAGTTCTCTTGCTCTTCTCCTCATTTCTTTACCTTCAATGCTTTCCAAATCCATAAACTTTTGCACAAGTTCTGCAATTTCCTCTCTGGTTAACAAATTTTCTTCTCTCACACCTCGCTTAACCTTCCAACCAATCCTCCAACCTTCTAAAATTTGCTTACTATTTGGTTCTTGATCCAAAAATAGAGGGAAAGTAAGCATTGGAACACCAGCAAAAACTGCTTCTAGAGTAGAGTTCCATCCACAATGTGTCCAAAAGCCCCCTATGGAAGAATGGCACAGCACTTTCAACTGGTCACACCAAGGCAGCACTAGCCCCATATCATCACTACATATGTCCTTTAACCGAGAAGCTTCTCCGCGTGCCACCCACAAGTACCGAACACCACTATCTTGAAGTCCAGCAATAATTTCATCCATTTGGGTGCTTGAAACAGAAAGGAAACTTCCCAAAGAGATGTATAAGACAGAGTCTTTAGGTTGAGAATCTAGCCATTGTAAGTAGTCTGGGGCCATATGACTGTAATTAGTTCCTGACAAATTACCTTCAAGCTCTAAGTAAGGTATGGCAGGTCCAATAGGATAGACAGGAAATTGAAAAGTATCTTTCATAGCGTCCATGGCTTGGAGCTCAATCTCATAGATAGAAGTGAACAGAAGATATTGTGCTTGAGGCACTTTTGAAATGCAGTCCAGGGCTAGCTGCAATACTCTTTGATCATTCTTTTGGAAGACCTTTTGGAGTTCTGCTAAATGTGACGAAGAAATTCCAGGGATGTAATCCACTTGTCCTGTTATATGCAAGAAAAATACCCAGTTGCTACTATCACTTTCTGTTTTGAAATATCAACTAGCATGGAAATTCGGAAAGCGTGAATCAGGAAGACACGAACCATTTTATTTGTGATCTCTACGAATTCTTAAAGTCTTTGGCTTAAATGACCAAGCAGCTAATATCTCTCATCTAAGATCGTGCATTCTGCCATTTGTTTAAATCTTTTTACATTAGCTTAATCTATTTATCAAACAAAGGACAGCGCGAAAAGTTCCTTTCTGAATGTTATTACCGTAATAAAAAACCTAGCTTCACCATATTTTGTAATGAAAATCTCATTTCAAAACCCTAGCCTCACCATACTCTGGGCTGAAAATTTCACGTCAATCTTCCAAGTTCCTCTTTCACAAACCTAACTTCACCATATTCT